CTAATATATTAGAAAAAAATATGGTAAAGTACTATAATCTTCTATTGTTACCATGTGTTGTATTTGATCAATTTGAATCTGAATCAGTTTTCATGTAGAATTCTCATTCAAGCCACCATTGGTAAGAATATAGGGACACTTATTTGTATGAATAATTGATATTTTTTCACCTCATTTGAGAGAGTGGTGTCAGGCATCAAGCTGAAGTTTTTGGTGAGTTTAGAGTCTTCCCGTTGACTAGTTGATGCGCTTTGCTCTCGTCCCCCCACCAGCAGCGGCTGCTCTTCTTCTGGAAGCTCCTCGTCCTGTACTCCAGCCTCGGGATCCAGGGTCGTGACCTCGGTCACTAGAACTAGGTGGGACATTCTTTTCTTGAGTTTGTTCTGCAGGGTGAAAGGGCAACTTTGTGACATGTTTCTTTCTCTTGCAGTGTTATTTTAGTATCACCGACATACTATTATAGTTTTATTCTCATTTTTTGTTGATTATAGTTACAGTTTTAGTCATTTTGTTGTGGTTTCCTGTCGTTTTTATTAGTTATCGTTTTTGTTTTAAATATGTCTACATGTAGTTGATTAATTTGAGTTATTTTAGTACATCAAGTAAAACTAAATGAACATGAGAAATGATGTCTGTCAACTGCCTGAAATAAAACAAGTTTACTTTTTTTCAGTTAACATAACATATTTTTTTTAGCTTTCATTAACTATAAAAACCCTGTTCTCTCATCATTTTTGTCTTCCTATCTGAGTGAGACTAAACAACAGTAAACTGTTGAAGTGCAACATTTGGATTTAATCTGTGCGCTACAGTTGTTTGATGTACCACTGTTTTTGTAGCACAAAACATTTGTGTATTGATTATTTTCTATGGAGCCCTTGAATCATCAACATAAGAACAAATCAATGAACAAAAGCACGCCAACCTGTACTTGATCCCTGACAAAACTCATGTTGTCCAGCGCTTCAGTCAGAGATATCAGACATGGGGACAAGTCCCAGTACACACAGAAGAGCTGCGGACAGAAAGAAAGATCAAGCAGAAGAGCAGTTAAACAAGTCTGTTCATGGCTCTATGCACATTATCAGTTCCATCAGATAAGGGTGCAACTCAGGAAGGCATTCAGTTATCTGATTATACAGTACAGTTTACAATCTCTTTTACTCTCTAGAGTACCACTAGACCATTAACCGTCACTCTCAACTTTCTGGCTTACAAATTCAGAAATCTATTATTGCTTAAAATCTTCTTGGTTTTGTTTGGGAGTGAAATAGAGAAAAAGAAATATGAAATATTGGACTTTAAACGAATGTGTCTATTTTGACCAAATTTATTTGCATGCCTATACCATGCATACCATGCATGCAAATAAATTTGGTATATGCATGCAAATAGATTTGGTCAAAATAGACACATTGGTTTAAAGTCCAATGTTTCATATTTCTTTTTCTCTATTTCACTCCCAAACAAAACCAGGAAGATTGTAAGATTGTAAGCAATAATAGATGCTGGTAGGTGTGTACTGTAGCTTATGCTTCATACAGTGGTGTGAAAAAGTGTTGGCCCCCTTCCTGTTTTTTAA